TCTTGGAGGAGAGACGAAACGTTTCATTAGAGAAGAACCCGTCCAGAAGACCTATACTATTTTTTTCTTTTTATGCTTCAAAAATGTTTTATGATTATATTTCTGACAGTTCAATCAAATTAAACATTGATAAGGCATTTATTTATTATATTTTGACAAAACACAATTTTTGTAAGTGTTTTAATCAAAACAGTTCATTTGCCTATTTCTCCATATCCCACTTATAGACTTGATCCTCGTTTCGATGTGATGATGGGTCACATTTATGTAACTGCAGACTCTCCTATCAGGCTGCAAAATTATTAACTAAGCAATTAGTTGGAATATCTCAGTTGCCTAATTTTAAACTATACAAAAACAGTTTCAATGTGTTTCTTTAAAGAGAAAAACACAGAAAGGGTTTAAAGTAAATATAGACCATCAGGAAATCAAATATCTGGGGTTATTATAGACTTTAAACTAAACTTTGATTGTCATGTTAAGAAAATGTCCAAGACTATCAAGACTAATATAAACCCTATATCTACCAAAGCAGCTCAAATGTGCTGTATATGCATGCAATGGTATTATCACATATATCTTACTGTTCTGTCAAAAGCCAAACCAGAGACGAGGGCTGTAAATTAGCTTTTAGCTAGAAGCTAGTATGATGCATCTGTTGCCTATGAGTGATAATGTTTTGTTGTACTTTCCCTTCAAAAACAGATAATAAAATAAATAAATACGCCATCTATTAGAGCTCAGAGGATGGACATGGAAAGACTCTCAGCTACTACCATTTCAAATATGAGCTCAATATTTGTTAAATCTGGAGTGTTTAAGTTCAGCTAGCTGCAGCAGCTCTTTACATCCAGGTTGACTCCAAAAACTAAAATCAGGTGTCGATGTTCATTCAGGTGATCCATTATTGTAAATGTGAGAAAAATGGATCTGTTGCAGGTTGGGATATTTAAAAAACAACAACAAACCGTCATATTTGGCGATATCCTCATCTGCGTCCTCCTTTGTTGTTTTTGACAGCTGCCACCTGCAGAGGTCAACATCAGCAAACTTCCAGCTCACAGTGATCAGGTGAGTTTCTCCAACAGTTTATTCAACAGTTTATTCAACAGTTACCAAAACGATGGATTATGTTTGGGTCATACCTGTCCAGTGATCCGTCATCAAACGTCTCAGCAAAGTAAACGTCTCCAGTTGGAACTGGAGTCTTGTACGTTACCTGGAAGGTAAGAGATCCTAGAGTCAAGATTTTATGTCACAAATTAAAAACAGCTAAAAAGTTTTGGTCCCGTTTCCGACCTGGAAGGTGACATTGGTATCAGAACCGGCCTGATCCGCGTCGTCGGGCTGCTCTTCGTCCGCCACCGTTGCTTCGTCCTCTTCCTCGTCCATCAGAACCTTCAGCTCCTCCTCGTCCAAACCCAAGTCGTCGTCCGAGACGTCCCCATCCCACTGGCCCTCGTGAGCCGCCACGGCAGCGGCGGCCAGCGAGGACAGGAGCAGCAGGCGCCACATCCAGCCCCCACCCAAGTTCATCTGAGGGGGGGGGACCAGAACCAGGGGAGGAAGAAGGTGAGATAAAATAATAAACAGCAGGGGGAGAGTATAGAAGCAGCTGCACTGTGTGTGGGTGCTGGGTGTAAAAATAGAAAACACAAGTGTGTAAAATGACAGAGCAGAGTGGGTGAGATGGAGGTGATCCGTGTCCTCAATACGCTTCTCTTATTTTTAGGCTAACAACTGTTTTTGTGCTGATTCACTCTGATTGTCCTGTTTTTTTATTTTTCTGTAAACTTATTGTAACCTAACAACTTCTGCATAATCTGTGCATTTTTAGTATTTTAGTATTTCATAGATCAAAACATTCTGCTCATTCAGGCTTTTTTCTTCTAATTTTTACACTCTCTTAAAACCTTTAACTTTATGTTCCTGACTGAAGATTAAAGCAGCATTTAACAGCGTTTGACATAAATGTTTGGAATTAAGTGATCACATGGTTCTGTGGCGACCACTCAACAGCAGAAACATAAAATGATTTCAGAGAAACAAAACCTAACATGAAAACATCAAACCAGAACCAGAAAAGCAGCTCATTTAATATTTAATTGCTTCAACAGTAATACACACAAATTGTTAATTTATAAAAAGGTCATTCCACCCAGAATAAATACTATTACTATTTCAAGTCATAGTTTCTGGTATTCCTGTTCCAGAAATTCACATTTATTTCTGTTTTTAAACATTAGTTTGGAGTTATTTGTCCAGGTTTTTAAAAAGACATTCCAAAGCTTTTGAAAATCAAACAAAAAAGGCTATCATAAACTATATGGTGCAGATTTAAGATCTGACCATGCAATGATAATTTATCAGGTCTCCCTGAGTTACTTTAAGATAGTTTGGTTTAACTTTAAAGTTCTTTGGTGGAGGATCTAGTTGTTGACTTCAGTGTCACTCTTTCATTTTCACCCTTTCTTGAAGTTTCACAAATCAGACAAGAGTTTCAGAAATCCTTTACTTGTTTATAAATAATAACCTATGCTAGGTTTGAAGAGTCTATACGTTGTAGTTTTGCATCTGGACCAGGTCTAGTTAGGTCCAAATGCACAAAAAGTGATAAAAATCGTCTTTATRGGAGGTTTCTCAAATCTCAAATTTGGTTTTAAATATTCTGCATTCAGTGTAGGATATTCTAGTCCAGGTTTGAAGAGCCRGAGTATTTTAGTTCTTTAAACTGGAGCAGATTAAAAGAAGCTGAAAATACTGGTAAATTAGGTGGAATGCCCTTTAGCCATTTCCCGAATCAGAAGCTAAAATCGGACACTAACTTCAGCTTCGTCTGGCTGCAGCACCTGCTCCTGTGGCTAATGCTAACTAGCAGGGAGGCGCGCCGATCACAAACAAGAAACGTTTTATTATCTGGTAAACTAAAATTCTTAAAACACGCTACCTGCTAATTAAACACACACTAAATCTAAAAACATAAGCTGGAAATTTTTTATTTCAATTTAAACACGACCGTAAAACGTTTTGTTTATCAGTAAAAATGAATGGATAGCAGCTAGCTAGTTAGCATTGATGTCGCACTGAATGGGAGAGATGCATCGCGCAGAGAGAGGCTTACAGAACACACAAACACAAACCTTGTTCTTTCTTCTTACTCCAGGAAAATAAATTCTCAAAAACAGCTTCTCTGTGTTAAATTCCCGTGCACCTATCCCACTGTGAGTCTCCCCAAAGAAGGGCTGGATAAAAAAAATCCCAGGAGATCTGCTGCTTGAGATGGTGAATGACAGCTCGGCCTGGATAACGGTGCTGCTTCTGAGCATGCGCAGTAGCAGCAGATGGCGAGCGGCACTGATGCGTTCACGAACAGAGGAAACCAAGAAGACGAGAATGACTGTAAACAAACAAACAAACAAACAAACAAACAAACAAACAAACAAACAAACAAACAAACAAACAAACAAACAAACAACTCTATCCACCTCAAAAGTATCACTGGTAAAAAGCAGCAGATGTAAGTAAGTAAATAAACATCTTTGAAGTTGCTCTAATTAAAAAAAAAACCTGGATGCTGGACGTGCAATGTTTACATGTTGTGTTTTGCTTTAATGCAAATAAACTCGTTTCTTTAATTTAAATTAACTTTAGCCACAAAACTAAATTACTGCTGAAAGTTACCAGTAAAACTGCTTATTATTTTACCACATAGTCCAAAACACTTCTTTTCTTTTTTTGCTAAAAAAAATGTGCAGACCGCAAACTGTTTAAAAGTAAGTGGTTTAGGTTTTTTAGTAGGCGTTGTTTCATCCAATAAAT